TATATATATATATATATAAAAGCAGCTGTGAATGAGCCGCAAGATTTGTCAAAGCTAATTGCTCATCAAGTGATTCAAAATGGCGGTATATATGGTAGATATGCTGGACTCAAAATCTCGTGCTAAAGAACGTGAATGTTCGAATCCTCTTCAAAGCATAATACTGAGATTTTTTGTTCTTCGAAATTGTTCTTACTAACAATCCATCCTTTCCCTCCAAATTAACGATGATTCTAGAGAATAAGCGACTATGATACTCTTGCTGAGAGCCAAATCGATATATTCAGAGGCGCGATCAGGATTTCAATTTTATGAGTTCTAGATTTTAACGATAATTTTAAGTGCTAGTAACTGGGTTCTAATTTTAATATACGTACATATTTAATGATTTTTTTGGTAAAAATATACTATTTGAACAAAAGTTATTGGGTTCGGCCGAATCCGTTTCCGAGCTTCTAGCTCCACCCATGGGTATATTTGCTTACATAGTTTTATACAAATACAGTTGATTGCTCTTGAGCTAATATAGCTGAAAAACAATGCAACTGCTCTAACTTCAGCTCAAGTAACTAATTTCCTAACGAAGTCTGTAACCGCCCATAACTACTCAACTGACCATTCACTGCTATTAAAACTGAATTTAAGCTAGCTGGAATTCGAATAAATTACACAGAAAGTTAATTTATAGTATTAAACACGAAATACTTCATACATTACTATTTGCCTACAAATTCTCCCTCTCTCTAGTTCAGTTATGTAACTCAAACAATTATGGAGTAGATTTTTACGCATTTTTCAACATTGAAAAAGAAAATGAAGAGGAATAAGCAGAGGAAAGAAGTTTACCCAGTGAAAATGGTACGGATTATGAGATTTTCATGCATTTTCGCTGTTGCAATGTTAATCATCATCTTTTCACCATTTCAATCATCTCAGTTCTCGTACCGTAAAGCTTCCGTGTTCCGCAATGCACCTGATTGCAGCTCTAGTACTGACAGAACAAAATTTGAGAAAATTGAATATTCAAAATTTGTTCATGTAGCGATGACTCTTGATAATCAGTATCTACGTGGATCAATCGCAGCCGTTCATTCGATTCTACGCCATTCTAAATGTCCAGAGAATGTATTCTTCCACTTCTTAGTCTCAGATACGAATCTCAAAACCTTAATTCAGTACATTTTTCCTGAATTGAAATTCAATGTATATTACTTTGATTCGAAAAGAGTAAAAACCTTGATTTCAACTTCCGTACGAGAAGCACTTGAACATCCTCTCAATTATGCGAGAAATTACTTAGCTGACCTTCTAGAACCTTCAATTCACAGAGTTATATACTTAGATTCGGATATAATTGTAATTGATGATATTTTCAAGCTGTGGAGCACAAACTTGGGGGGAAAGGCAATCGGAGCGCCGGAATATTGTCACGCTAACTTCACGACGTATTTCACGGCGAGGTTCTTGTCGGACATGAGATTTTCTGGCGTATTCGCCGGACGGAAAAGGAAGCCGTGTTACTTTAATACAGGTGTTATGGTTATGGATTTAGTGAAATGGAGGCGGGTCGGGTACACGAAACTGATCGAGGAATGGATGGATATCCAGAAGACGAATCGGATCTATGAGCTCGGATCTTTGCCGCCGTTTCTACTGGTTTTTGCTGGTGACGTGGCGCATGTTGACCATAGATGGAACCAGCACGGTTTGGGCGGTGATAATGTGAAGGGAAGCTGCCGGAAACCGCACCCTGGTCCAACGAGTCTGCTTCACTGGAGCGGGTCGGGTAAGCCGTGGGTCAGGTTCGACTCGAAGAAAGCTTGTGCTATTGATTTTGTATGGGCATCCTATGATTTGTATAAACATGAGACGTGAATATGGACAGAATTGTATAAATCATACAGCTTTAAAAAGAAAGAGGAAAATATTAGCAATGTTTGAATTCAATTTGATCGTAGTGACATTTGTGCTTGTTACGAAATCAGAATTATCTACTAGAAGAGCAATAACCTTTAATTATTGACCGAATTTATGTGATATTAATATAGCTGAATTGGAAAAATACGTGGTTTACACGTGTTAAAGAGCATAAATGATAATTTTTATTTTAAAAAATAACAAAAAATAATTATAACTTATAATGTTGTAGTTGGTGACGCAAGTCCTGTATATCTATTGCATTCGTGAAAAATGAGAGATCAAAGTGTGTCAAACACCTTTAATTGTTGACCGGCCTTATGCGGTATTAGTATGCCTTTGTACGGCTTTGGATGTTTATCTGATGTTTATTTCAATTTCTTGAGTTTTAGTATGGCTTTGGATATTTTAGGACCTTGAATTAAAATATTCATATTTTCTTAATAGTATATAAAGGTTTTGACGGTAATTATTTAGGTAAAAAGTGAGCCTACAATGTGGACAAATTAAATATTGACACGTGGCAAATAATGCCAAATTAGATGATCAATGGAGTGGAAGGTCCTTTGAAGAAATGAATTGGAGGTCAATTGAGCCAAAATAGTTGATCTTGGGATCATTGATATTGGTTCTATAATTGAGCCAAAAGATTTACCATGACACCTCATATGTACAGATATAAACAAAGAAATGGTCTATTTCTCATTTTAGTATTTGCAAATAAGGATTATCGTGACAACTATCATTATATATGATATGCAAAACTATCTAAGATTTCTTAATCCACCAAGAAAATCCTTGAGTTCATAATTTCAACTGTGTCTAACTTCCATTACACAATAAAAGTTGATGACTTTTAATTTCCTTTTAGATACGCACATCACCCTGAATGGAGCTAGATCGTAAAATTACTCTTCTAAACGTGGACCCACAAATGAATGCATATCAATTTATTCCATTTCAACTCATTTACCAATTACCACCACCCAAACCCATAGCCCTTTTTGTATTACTTATAAACCTATCATCATCTTGTGTATAACAACTCTCCTTGCCATTTAATTACCAAGATCAATATAAAAATAAAGTGGCTTTTTCTTGTGATGACATAACGTTGATGGTCGGTGTTACTTCTTGGGTGTCTTTTGAGTTCTGTATTCTCGTGGAGAAAAATAGTGCAAAATGGATGAGTCCTGCGAGTGCAATCTGTGTGTGTCCCTCTTTTACTATGTCACAATAATGAATTAAAAGAAGACGGAGAGGAGATGTATATTATGTGTGCTTCTATGTGATATACTCGATATTGTTTNAAAATCTGAGAGAATGGACTGGTATTTATAGCCAATGTTGAGCTCAAACTGAAGAGATGCAACTATTCAAAACTTAAGAGGTGCAACTCTTCAAATCCGAAGAGGTGCCAACTGTTTCTTCAAATCTAAAGAGGTGCAAACTATTCTTCAAATCCTAAGAGGAGCAAACTGTTTCGGCCATATTGTAAATATCTTTTACAAAAAGCGAAGGGCATATACTATTACGTTGGATTTAATATTAATATTCCGTTTACAAAAAACCGAATATTTAATAACATTTCTGTTAATATTTACTATTAACAAATAAATTTGGTCCAAAAAATTAATCAATCAATCATTTTTCCGAAGCCGAAGCCGAGCTGAGCGAGCGACGACGACGACGACGCGAGGCTTGCCTTCTTCTTAACTCTTTAAGAGCTAGAAGAAGTGCAATTGTATATATACCCATCAAAATCTTTTTCTCTTCCAATATGGGACAATGTCCCTTTGTCAAGGAGGGAAACTCAAATATTTTTAATTTCCCTCCATTTTTCATTCACTCTCTTTTAAGCTACATTTAAGCTTAAAAACCCAATAATTTTTAAGCTACATTTAAACTTAAAAACCCAACAATCCCCCACATGAATGGGGAATGGCTATATCACGAAAATATGCATGAAAAACTGTGTGATTCGCAAGCAAGGATTAATTGCATCT